ATGAGTGCTGGAGATCCAAACTCAGGTCCTTGTGTTTGTGCAGCAGGTACCTTACCCAAGAAGCCAGCTCCCCATCCTTAGTGTCTCACTGTTAAAGCTCAATGCTCAGGGATGATTCCTCTGAATGACGCCCCCATGTCCTCATGATCAGACAAAGATGAACTTGTTAATGCATGATAATTCAACTACAAGTTATGATTTTTTAAATATCCTCTTCCAGTTCCAATCAAATGGCCCCTTAGACTGGTGCTGCTCAGAGTGAGCCATGACCAGACACAGCAGTGCACATGAAAACTATGAAACACTGCAGCTCAAGCCTGCTGACTCAGTATCTGGGGCTGGGTCCAAGTATTCTGCATGTTAAAAAGCATCCAAGGTTACACCAAAGCTTATGTGTGTTTGAGAGCTTCTGAGTTAAGCTTTTATTTGAGAGCAGATGAATCCTGGGAAAATCCGTAGCTTAAAGGTCAGGTACTGGGAAGTAATTCATACTGTTTTCTGTTGCAGTGGCTTGTAAACATTTTAACCACAATCTTTACAAAGGAACATGCTGTCTTCATATCGCAGGACAAGTACATGTGCATGCACATAGGATGTGCAATGAAATTAGTGTTTCATGAAACAATATGCATCCTTATTACCCGTGATTCATCCTGCAAATTTGTACCCTATTCTATTCCATTTTCAAAAACACTGGGCTAAGCCAACTGAATCGATTTTGAAATCCTCTAATGAATCACAACCAGACTTTGCAAAACTCCAATCTGTAGCAATCAACTGAAATACAAAGCTCAACTGACGAAGCATAAACTCAGAGGAAGAGAACATAAAACATTGCAAACCAGTCATTAAACAAGACTGTATTTTTAGGTATTCTTAAAATGTTTGCATTTAGCCGGATTTAGAACACTTTAATTACAATACTGATCTCCAAATGAAGTGAATGCCATTTAGTCTGATTACAAATCTCATTACCTTCAACTAACAATTATGGATCTTAGGAGGGCACAAGGGGCACTTGGCTCTCTCATGTGACTGGAGTGAAGGTCTAAGGGACAATCTCCCTAAGCCTCAGTTTCTTCATCTATGAAACAGGGCTGGGATAACAATACCTACCTCAAAAAGCTAGACACAAAGGATCAAAGGGCCTGGGGAGATGGCTTAGTAGGTAAAACACCTGCAGTCCAAGCATATGGACCCAAGTGCAGATTCTCAGAAGCCATGTGGTAGCCCATCTGTAGTCCTGGCAGAGATAGGAGTCCTAGAAACAAACAGCTAACCAAACTTTTGGAAACTTGTAGCTCTAAGTTCAGTGAGCTATCTGCGTCTGTGTGTAAGGTGAAAAGCAGAAAAGATTCCCAATATCAACCTCAGGTGTCCACATACACACATACATACCTGTGTATAACCCATACATACACATACGAAAATGCATATATATATGCATGCACCAAAAGTTGCTATGAATTTTCAATGAGACTGTTCATAAACATAATAGTAATTAAAAATAAAGTGCCACTGAACAAATATTATTACCATCTTAAAATAACAGTGATGATATTTAAATAAAGCCTGTGTGTGTGTGTGTGTGTGTGTGTGTGTGTGTGTGTGTGTGTGTGTGTGTGTGTTCACACATCCAAATATCCAATACTTACTCATTTGTGAACAAACTTGTGTTCCCAAGTCTTTGTTTTGGCTCTGTCTGTGGCTGTTGATGTGGCCTACTTGACTGCCTACCCATCTACTTCCTTCCTGTCTAGACTTGAATCTGACATTTCTTGCTCAGACCAGTTTCTACCCTCTTGTCTCCATAGTTGACAACATCTGCACTCCCAAACCCAACTCTCCTAACAGCTTGACCCTCACAACATCAGCATCTTTATAGTACTGTGTTCTTGTGTCTTGAGAATACAGACTCTATTCACACTTTTCTCAGCCCACTTCTATAACCTCTTAACATTTGCTTTGGTCCCTTATTCATTCTGTTGAAAGACCCGCTCGAAATGCCCCTGAGCCCCCTGCCCCGAAGCTGCCGGGGCCTCCCAAGCCTTCACCCCGGCAGGGCTCGCGCCCCCG